CCAGCTGGCAGAAAACTGATGAGCTGTACATTTTTTGTTGACGTGGCACTCTACATGGCAATCACCCATCGCATCTTGCAATTGCAACCTTCAACCTCTGCCCCAACTCTCTTCCTCCCATATGCCCATGGCGTTCCTTCTCATCACCACCTTCTCCTTCTCCTCCTTCTCTTCCTCCTTCTTCCACCCTTTCAATTCCACCTTCCTTTTTTTCCCAATCTCTCTCTGTCTTCTCAATTCTAACCCTAACCTCACCTCTTTCGAAATCTCCAAACTTCAAAAACCGCAAAATATAGTCTGAGAGAACCATCACCCCTGTTCAAACCCATCAATTATTTTCCACTGGGTCACGCTTTCACTCCCAAATTTCCGATTTTTCTATCTGTTTATCGCCTTATTCGCCGTCTCAGGTATTGCTGATGGTTCTCTCTGAATACGGATCTGCACAAGTCGCGGCCTTGGATTAAAGAAAAAGCACCCACCCATTAAAGAAAAAGCAAAAACAGAATCCACTACAACATAGTAACAACAGTAATGCCATCAATTACTATAACAACAACATAAGAACAGTAATGCGATCACTAACCTCGAAGTTGATTTCACCAAAAATCAGAATCTGCACTCTTGGAAAGGAGATTGTTGAACCCTAAATCGCATGCAGATTTTACCCCAAATGTAATTGTCAAATTTTTTTAACCCTATCTTTTAAATTAATTTAAATTAATTTAAATTAATTAATTTAACACATATCACAGTGCCACGTCAACAAAAAATGTACAGCTCATCAGTTTTCTGCCAGCTGGGCAGCTGTGCCGTTAGTCTTTTTAACGCCGTAACCAAAAAGGACTAACTTGCACCGTTTTTGCGAAAAGTGGGATCTTAGTGAACTTTTGAAAAAAAGTAGGACCAATTTGAACAGACCCTACGAAAAGAGGGACCAAAATACGAATTAAACCTTTTTATAATATTATTAGCTTATTTGATTAAGTTTTAAACTTAATCTATTTTTTTTATCTAGGTGACTAGTTGTCATTTTGTTTTATTATCTTACTTATTTACGTTTTAAATATCAAGTCTTTTAGTTAATATAAAATTACATTATAGATAATTTAAAATAAAATGACAAAGTGGCTTTTATTATTTCTAATATTATCATATTTCTATAATGCCGTCGTTATTTATATAAATAACGATAATAATTAGGGGTGGGCAAAGTATACTGCACTATACTATATAATTTTGCAGTTAACTATAAATTAGTTCTCCTAAACTAAACTGAACTAAAAATAGTTCGGATGAACTGAACTAAAAATAGTTCGGGTGACCTAAACTGCACTGGTTTTTAGTCCACTCATAGTACAGTGCAGTTCAGTAAACTAATTTTTAGTTTACTTATAATGCATGCAGTAATCTTGTTGCACAACGCTGCTTTTGTGCAACTGCTTTTCATTCCAAACTGGACCAGCCAACAATCGGTAAAAAGCACAATTCCATATTGTGAATTTCTATGTGAACTGAACTATATCTTTGTGCCCTTTTGTAGTAAACAAGTTTCCTTATTTAATAAGTCAAAATTTTTTTGATTAAATCAGATACTTTCGAGCTATTTTAAAATTCAAAATTTTCTACATGGAAAATAAATAGGTTTCAAAAATCCGCATTATATAAAAATGCAGGGATGAAGTCAATCTGAGTCATTATGATCTCGTGTCCAACAATAACACTGCAGTTAAATAATTTTATTCTCAAATTAATTTAAAAAATGACACCAAATTATCAATGTAATGTAATCCAAAGAAGAATTTGTTCATCACCTGCAAGCTGGTTGCAAAATAAATCATTGGGATTGAGACAAACAAGACTTGCCAAGTAACAATTGCTAAAACTGCAAGATTAGCATAACAATTTGAAGTAGCTGCAACAACAAACAAACAACTGAATGCAACATCAAGGTCCACAAGCTTGAGATCCTAGGAGACCCAAACAAGGAAATAACAGACAAAAAATTAGTGCTTCCATGCATTGCATTACATTGTAAAGGGAAAGAAAAAGAAATGTTAAATATGCTTACCCTAGTAGTATTCGTCCTAAAGGAGTGGAGTCATAAAAAGAAACTGTAGCAAGACTTCTGATCAACAAGAATATTGATGAAATAGCTCCAATCAACTTTAGATAACTAACAAATTGTGGCAAAACTTCAATCATCCAAATTAATAGCAGCACTTGAAGGTCCCACTTCATCTTGAGAGGTTATCTCTACAAAAATAAATTAAATATTTCATAATTTTTGAACACTTAAAATATAAATTAAAAAATATATAAATTTGTCATATAATTTCTCCTTGCTCAAATTTATCGAGTTCTTTAGGATCCTCATAAAAAAGTATAGAGAAAGGTGTTCCTTTTAGCCAATCTTGTGTGTAAACAAGCACTTCCACTATTTTAGGCATTAGACAACTACGATAAGGACTAACCATTCTTCCTCCTGTATTGAATGCACACTCTGATGCTATGGTAGAGATAGGAATGGCTAACACCTCTCGAGCCATATTCGCAAGGATAGGAAATCTAATCGAGTTGACTTTCCACCAATGTAAAAATATCAAGCTTAATTGACTTCATATAAGGTTCAGGATCCTCTCTCAAATATTTATCAAGCTCTGATATATAATAAAATCTACGTCCTGTAGCTCTTAGGTAGAAACTCATGCCATGAGGATCATCATCATCATCTAGTTGAGATTCTTGTTGGCTACTTTGAGAACCCTCCTCAATACCTTGATATTGTTCATAAAGTGTTTTTAAGGATGACAATAATTTTGATTTCAATTCATTGGCCATACTAGATTCAAATAGGTAGTCAATGAAGTAATTAACAAAATCCAACTTACTCCTAGGGTCAAGCACAACAGCAATCAATAATAAAATATTAATTCCATTAGGATTTCCCCAATATTTTTCATACTTGCCCTTCATCCTCATTGCCATCAGTTTTATGCTCAGATCACTACTCTCAGAATATTGTCGGATCCTTTTACCAATTCCAAACACCTTTTTCATATACATATGACTGGTGACATAAGAAAAACCAAAAATGCGTAGGGTAGAGTCATAAAACATCTTTAAAAATGGTAGAATAGACCTCGCATATTCCCAATCCTCTTCTAATGGCACACCACCATTACTTTTGGCCATTTCAACACCAAATTTCTTATCTTGCATATCTAGCAAGACAAAAGCATCTTTGTACTTCAAGCTTGTCTCTAACATTAAGTAAGTTGAATTCCACCTTGTTTCAACATCAAGACAAACAATGCCTTTATAAGAAATTCCTTCTTGTTAAACACATGCCTTGAATCTAGCGAATCTAGCGGGAGAAGATTTCACATATTTAATTGCACTCCGGATTTTTGAAATTGAATCTTTGATCTCTTTTAAGTCATCCTTCACAATCAAACTTAATATGTGAGCACAACAACACATATGAACATATTCTTCCTTTAAGACAAGACAATTCCATGATAACATCCTTCTTTCAAGGTACTGGACTCTAACATAATTTGATGTAGCATTATCCACGGTGATACTAAGGACTCGCTTCAACTCCCAATTATTCAAATAAGCCTCAACATGTTTAGCAATGAGCTCCCCTGAATGTCCCGTTGTTTGAGAAAAATTCAAAATTTTCTTTTTAAGTTTCCAATCATTATCAATAAAGTGAGCGATTAAACTCATGTAATTTAGGTTTTGGATTGAAGTCCATGTGTCTGTAGTTAAACAAACTCTCTCACATTGCTTTGATAGAAACATTTTCAACTTTGTTTTTTCCTCTTCATAGAGTTCCCACATTTCACGCCTGAATACAGTGCGGGATGGGAATTCAAATTGTGGTTGCAAGGACCATACAAAGTCACGGAAGTTCTCATTTTCCACAAATCGAAAAGGAAGCTCAGACTTCACAAACATCTTCACCAACTTCATTCTAGATGCATTTTGGTCAAATTTAGAAATAGTTGGTGAAGGGTCTAACACTAACTTCTGTAGTTGATGATAAAAGTTTTTTCCTTTTGAATGCTTCTCTATTAGGATTTTCTTTGCATCTCGCCAAATGATTCCTCATCCTGCTTGTTCCAGTCAAATATTTAATCAAATAACCACAATAATTGCATTTAGCCTTCTTCTCATAATAAGGTTTTTGTTTAGTAAAATGTCCCCAAACATCTGATCGACCTTTACTATTCTCAGTTGACGATGAATCGATACAAGGAGGTAAATGATCCCTTCTAGAAGTATTTGGTGTGAGGGTTTCTACCGTTTCCGACATTCACGTCACTACATTAATTAAGAGCTCAATCAAACAAAAGACAAATTTATCTAAATGATGATGATATACGGTCTGAAAACAAATTCAGAAATCACATCACTACATTGATGAAAATGTTGTGATAAACTCTGAAAACAAATTCAGAAATTTCCAGGAAGGTGTCTGGAAATGGGATGGCAGAAGTAATTCATTTACTTAAGATCTGGAAGCTACCAGAATGATAAAAAACAACTATTATTTCATTTACTTCAATAGATTAGTGAAATGAAAAATCCTTTGATGGGGTAAATGCTAAAACAGAACTAATGAACTGGATTGCTAAAATTATATTATACAGAAACTAGAATTTCCAATGCATACTCACAAGCCAAATGTAAAGATTTAACAATTGAGCAATGAAGGGTAAGGTGCAACGAATATAATTTAAACTGTAACATATTACTAACATAGCAGTAAAGGTAAAATAAAGAACTATAAATAATGAAATTAAAGAACAAGCATAAAACAACTAATTACAATTAATCAGAAAGTAATTTCAGGATTAATAATCCTGTTCCAACTATTTAATTGAATTGAATTCTGCTCAAAAAGACCTCTTGTTAACTAAGGCTCACTTTGGTTTTTCTTGGATTCTAAAGCAGAACCTAAGTTATACAGAGCTTAGGAATCTAATCCAACCAGTTACAACTAAGAAATTTCGTTATGAAATCATAATCCAAGAACAATGGGAAAAAAATAAGAAACTGCAAAAACTAGAAATATAACCCAAGATCTAATAAAAATGATCTTGAAAAGTAAAGTGTCATATATGAATGGAAAAGAAAGTAGCAAAATTGAATTTTAATTGAACAAGAACGTGAAAATCAAAGCAAGAAATCAACAGGATGCGAATGCTGGAAAGTAAATATGCAAGAAAAAAAGGTATGGTGCAAGAAACGTAAATAAAGCAATAAATATACAAGTTATCACTTTACGACACCTAACGCATTTATCTATTTATTTATTTTTACACCAAGAGTCCAAAATTACTATTTACTAGGATCAAAATATAGGCAATGTCAAATAGTTACCAATAAATGACTAATTTGATGTCCAAATCTTCCAATGACCAAATTGACATTTCGAAATTGATTCCACAATTAACAATATAATGCTCTACACTATACAATAGTATTAATCATTAAACAACTTTTAAAATGACATGCCACTAAAAAAATCCAATTATTGTTCAGTATGAAATTGCTTTAATAAAAGGCATCTCTTGTGTTAAACAACATGGAATAAAATATCATTTATAGACAATTCTAAAACAAGCATAGAACAAACAAGTTTTCATTAAATACTCACATCAGTAGGCCTGACAACACTGTAATAGTCTCAAAAACTACATTTTAGGATGCAAGGAATCATCAACCACCCAATAACCACAGAACACATTCACTATAGACATCAAAATCCTAACCACATCAGGATCACTATCAGCACCATCAATTTTGACACACATTCAAGCATATAAGCACTATAACAATAAGGAAAAAAATCTCAAACTTGTACAGTCCCTAATATCATTAAACATTAGACTCCTAACTAGCCAATCTTTCACTATTAAAGGTTAACATTCATGTCAAGCATAAAACCAAACAATGTAAACAATCACCAAACATTTCCATTAAGCATTACACATCACAAAACACTATAACATCAACAATGCGACTAGGGTTCACACCAAAAGTCCACAACGACCTTGTAAACTCACCTTCCAAAGAATAAACTGATACTACCTTATTCTAAGACTAAATTTTATTTATCTCTTTTGAAAGGGAGAGGGAAAACATCCGTACCTATGGGTTGTAGATTTGCTTCTCTTTCCAGCGAGAAGTGTTCTCAAAACCTTCGACAATGGTGGTAGAGCCTTCAACAGTTCGATGACGGTAGAGTGCGGCAAAGCCTTTAACAGCGGCGAACCTTCGACAATGGCTAGTCTTCGACAACGGCGAGTCTTTGACAACGGCGAGTCTTCGACGACAGCGAGTCTTCAACGGCAGCGAACCTTCAACGAGAACCGTCAATGGCGGAAGCCTTCAATGGCAGCGAGCGACACGAATGAAACCTAACGTAGAGGTTCAGAGAAAATGGTGATGGAGAAAGGAAACAAGGAAACCTAATTGTGATTAGAAATTTTGATCGAGAAAGAAATTGGGAAAACTGAAACACAGTTAACTACAGTTAATTGTACTCAAAATAAAATAAGTTCATTGTTTTTAAACTGAACTATTAAGGAGTATATTTAGTTTTTAGTAAAAATAGTTTAAGTTTTTTAAGTTTAAAAAAGTACAGACAACTATAGTTTTAAGTTTTTTAAGTTTAAAAAAGTACAGACAACTATAGTTTTAAGTTTAAAAAAATACAGACAACTATGCCGAGCTCTAGTTGTTTAATCCATTGTCCAGAGATATATGGGTTGATACCTAGTATTTGCTTTGATGAATGTGAATTGTATGTGTTTTTAGGCTAGTTCATATAATGAAATTTTATTGTCCAATGAGTTATTAAGTTGAAATAATGGATTGGTTTAAATGGTAAAATGATAATGACTAAGTTAAGGATTAAGTTCAATAAATATTTGTTTTTATAATCTTTATTATAAGTTATTATTATTTTTTATATTAAGCTTCTTCTATAAATGCATTAGGTGAGTTTTTTCTTTTCTTTTTTTAATGTTAGCAAGTGGATAATTAAGTTGTGATATATGGAGAAATGAGACAAGATACTTTAAGAGCTTATTTTTTCCTCTCAAATATACTTTGATATTCTTCATATTTATTTTGATGGGTTAATATTTTTGGTATTTTATTTCTCATCATTTTTTTAAAGATGCATTACCTTATCCTTAATTTTTTAAACTTTATTCTATTTTAAAGTTTTAGTTCGATGACTTTTTTTTATAAGTTATGATCTCTTTTTAATTGTGTTTATTCTTTTGAAAAAATTGTTTCTTTTATTATGCAATGATCATATATATTTTATACAGGCAAAAAAGATAAAAGTTGGTTGTGATATTAGCAAGGGCCCTAGAACAAGAAACTAAAATATTAGATTAGGAATATCTTAGAAATTTCGTTTAACTTTTTAAAAAAATTATATTAAGTTTCTATTTTATGTTTTTAGTACCTGTGATCTATTTTGAATGTATTTTAAGAAAACCATGTTGTCTAACTTTAAGAATTGAAAGATGAATCAATTTATCTCCAATTATTATCATCATATGATTATTCAGTACTTAATAAAGGCATATTAGAAGAAATTCGGATTGTTACCCGATAATTATCCTACTTATAAATGATAAGATTAACACAAAAATATTATGAAAACTTCAAAGTTGGAAAAAAATTATAACAGTTGTCTTTTAACAACCAAATAACAATAATATGTGAAAATATTTACAAAAAATAGACGACTCTCTCATATCTTTTAATTCGAACAAGTACACACTCTTTAAGATAAGAATTTAACTCTTCCTCACCTTTACCTCCATATCCTCTGATTTTAAGTATACTTTCTTAAACAAGAACTTAATCGAGACCTTACAATATTACAAAAATATAAAAAAAATTAAATATAAACTTATAATGTTTTTGATAAATAGTTATCAATAAATAATAACAATTACATTTGTTGACGTGGCAATAAAATACAAAACTTCCAAAATTACGAATTTTATACCAACTAAATTATGCAAGTAAATACAAAATTATTTTATTAATAATAGTTATACCTATTACGTTCTCATAATCTGTATTAATCATCAAAGTTTCATGAAACAAGAAAATAAAATATATGTTTTATCCCAAAAATCTATTATTCACACAATTTTTTATTCTTTTCTGTCATTAAATTGATTGGAACTAGAAAACATTAAAATAGTACGTATAAGAATTTAAAGGAATGATTTCTACGTCTAAAATTGTAGAATTACAAAAATTAAATGAGACATTTTATATCTCATATATTGGTCCTCAAATCTCATAATGGACAGTATTGGTGTCAAATTGGTAAAGGTAATTTTAATAAAATTGATTTTAAAAATTAAGCGTAAACGAGAGTATTATCAAATTAATCTCAATACATTACAACACATAAAAAGGTAAAAAATATCTCTATACCTTTATATTTTTTAATTTATTTTGGATTGTGCCATCAAAAAACATCTTTAAATTTAAGAATAATTTCCAAATTATATGACACATTCGAAAATATCTTTTGAATTATGTAATTTATAATATATTTTAAAAAATAAATTTAGGAGTACGGATGCTGAAAAATATTTCAAAATTTAAAAGTATCTTTTAAAATATACAATTCAAAATACATTTTTGAATTATAAGATTTAAAATATATTTCTTAATTTAAAAATATCTTTTGGATTATATAATCCGAAATAACCTAAAAAATACATTTCAAAATGCATATTTTAAAAAATATTTTCAATTCTAAAAATACTTTAAAAAATATATTTCATAATATTTTTTTTAAAAAAATACATTTTAGATTATGTAGGCATAAATATTTTCTGGATTTAACATGAATAATTTATTGGAAAAAGATGAGATTGGTGAATTGGAAACTTTGTTTTCTTTGATAATTTTTTTAATCCAAAAGTGTTTTATAGTCCGGAACTATTGGCCATGGAGGCTTCTGATCACTCAGTGAACGTGTCAGGTAGATTTTATTAAAAAGAAATGAAAGAAGTGTTGAAGGTGCAAAATTTATTTGAAAAGTGCAAAAGTGGAGATGGAGATATAGCAGAATTTTGTGGCTTATTTCTTATGCTCTTTCTTTGCGGCATCTCTTTCAGGAAAATCTTCAATATTAACTCACTGATGCAAAGGCCAGGGAAATCACTAATGTAAATCAAGTTTCATGAGGAGTTGTCCAATCTAGGTAACATAATTCTTCTAAGTTTTTTTCTATATCTTTTCATTCCTAGATAATGTGCATTACCATTGGTGAATAAGGTGTTGCATCTTATTTGATTTTCCATTTCTCTTTATAGGCAAGAATAACAGTGGACTGCTTGTGCTTTTCTTTAAGATGAAAATAAATTAAGACAAGATGGCTACATGGTTAATATTCCAGAGGTGTTGGGGACAAGGAAAATACATAAGGTCAAATCCAATTACCTCAAAAGAATATAGAAATTAGTGTAAGCATTTCCATACCAAAGCAGTAACAAAAGAATATAGAAATTAGTGTAAGCATTTCCATGCTACTGATATTTGTATATTTCATAGGCGATGAATCAAATATTACATTGTCATATGGTTATGAGAAAAACATTAAGGGTGAACGACTTGATACCCGGCAGGTAAGGCCTTTCTTGATGCTACTTCTATATTTTTTTATGAATTAATTCATGCCTATGGTTCCTTTTTGTTATATCAGACTACAAAAAGAAGATGAAAAAGAGTTTAGAGAAAAAGAAAATAAAGAGGAAGAAGTGAGAGAAAAAGAGATTCACATTAAAGAATTCACATTGCCAAACAAAAGCCATTATTCACAATTTCTCAATCACCATCATAACAAAACCAATCAAATTGCAAGACCAATAACAAAGTGCAACTAAGAACTAACATAACTAGGTAAATTTACCCTATAACGACAGCTTTCTTTCCCTATATCCACAAACTCCTTCCCTATATCCACAAACTCCTTCGCCTCTGAAATCATGCCTCCATCCACCAGCTTATCCACCACAAGTTGTATCAACGATACATCAACATGGCCCCGTCTTTTAAAAATCTCAAAACACAAATCAATTGCGGTCTTCCAATCACCCTTCTCACGCAAGAAGGGAATAAGTATAGAGTAACTGTTTTTATCAAGGTCAAGATCAAGTTTTGCAATCATAACTAAATAATTCTTGACCTCATCCAAATTACCTTTATTCACAATATATTTGATGATAGCATTTTTGACAGCTTCGAGGCAAAAGAGGTCAAACTTCACACCCACCTTCTTCATTTCGCTATAAAACTCACCAGCTTCATCCGGTTTCTCCCTCGACAACCCCACCAACCTAAAAAGATAATTCGTCGCGTCAGGAGTAACATTCTTAGCACTCATTTGCCCCCACACTTTCTCACCATCCTCAAAACTTCCCTTTGAATACAACCCATGAAGCAAAGTGTTAAACGTAATGGAATCAGGATTCACACCCTTCTCCTCCATCTCCTTAAGAACTGACAGTGCCGAATTAAAGGAAACCTTTTTACGAAAAGCCTTAATGAAAGTGTTGTACGACACCAAATCAGGCTCGATTGAGAGCTGAGTGGGAAGGGTCTTGAAAAGCTTCTCCACGACGTTGAACTTCCTGGAGTGAAGGTATGCGTCTAAGAGGGCATTGAAAGAGAGCACGGTGCGGTTGCACTTTCGCTGGGGCATTTCGTCGAACACCATGCGGGCGTGTTTGGTCATGCCAGATTTGCCATAAAGGGATATTAGGCGCACAGAGAAATCCTCGTTCGAAATGTCGGAATACTGTTTTTGGTGTTCGAGGATGTCGCGAACCCACCGAAAGCGCTTGGCACCGGCGAGACGCCGCACTGTCTCCTCGTAAATGCCGGTATTTTTGCGAAACCGGTCAATGTCGGAAGCTTTCTTGAACTTCTCCACCAACCTCTTTAACTTTACTTCTTTGTATAAATCCTCCGAAATAGACTTGATGCTCACTGTTGCTGGTTCTGCGGCAGTGCAAAAAGCACGGTAAAGAATGCGATACATTTTGGGGTAAACACTGAATCAAAAAACCACTGACAACCCTACTTACTGGAGCCATTGTTTTTGCAAATGTTTTAAAGTTGGGCTTGGAGAACATTCGGCCCAAACATTTTGGATAAAATAGATTTTTCCTTGTGCCCGCAAAATTCTTGAGCATCTTCTATTTGGGTGTTACTTTCTCTACCACAACCACTTCTTCCTCCACCTCTTCAATCTTCTTTAAAAAAATTTAATTACAAAAATAACCTTTTTTAATTACAAAAATAACTTTTATTTTATTTTTAATCATATTTACTTATTTTAAATTCAAATCCTATTTTTCTCCTCACTCACTTTGCTCCAACATCAATTCTTCTTGTCTTTCTTTTAGATTCTCACCTCCCCCAACTCCACCACATCCGTCTTCTCAAAAATAATAGATCAAAACATATAAATTATATTATTAAAATATCTTTAAAATTAATATAAAAAACAAACTAATAAAAATAATTGGAAAATAAACGTATAATCTTTAAACGGATATCGACATCCGTTTTCCCTTAAACGGATG